TACACCGTCTGCTCGTCACGCTATCTTATTTTCGGCCGGATAGATTCGTGCAACTTCTTAGTCTAATACCGATCCTAATCTTACTCTTATACTATCTAGTCTCAGGTTGTTTAACTAGTCTCTGCTAGGCTCAATAGATCTAGGGTATACTGGTTTATTGCGGCTGCTGAAGTGCTCGGGAGAGTCCAACTAATTTCTAAGTTAAATTCAAATCTCTCTGGTGCTGAAATTACAAGTAACTTCAGCACTTACAAATAAGTGGGTTGTTAGTTAGATGGATCATGATTGGTTAATATTAAATACTTTACATTGGTAAAACATTTAATTTATCCAATCATAAAATATAGTTTAGATCAGGTTCCAAAATTTGCAAAATTTGAAAGGGTCGAACTCTTTCTCAAAAACTGATTTCAATCGATCAACAGTTTTGGTCATGCATATGCTATTATAGAGCGAAAAAAATTTGCAAAATTTGAGAGAGTCGAGCTCTTTCTCAAAACTGATTTCAATCGATCAACAGTTTTGGTGATGCATATGCTATTATAGAGCGAAAAAATTTGCAAAATTTGAAAGGGTCGAACTCTTTCTCGAAAACTGATTTCAATCGATCAACAGTTTTGATGTTGCATATGCTATTATAGAGCGAAAAAATTTGCAAAATTTGAAAGGGTCGAGCTCTTTCTCAAAACTGATTTCAATCGATCAACAGTTTTGATGTTGCATATGCTATTATAGAGTGAAAAAATTTAAATTCAGTTTTTGTTTAGGATGAGATGCGTGTGAGCTTCGCAATTAAATGTGGTCGAGCTCTTGTATCGCAATCTGAGAAAAAAAAAAAAACATTACAAAAGTTCAGAACGATAACCGAAAGTTTTTTCAAATTTTTTGTAGTTGTTCGAAAAATACTTTAAAGCAGGAGGATCTTTTTTAGGATGATAAGTCAAAATTTTCTATTCTTTGAGTATCTGATCTCCTCCACCTTGGTTTGAACTGCTGTCTCTTAGCCACGATCGACTTACAATGACATGGAATCAGTTGCTCAAAGTTTTGACTTTTATGTCACCCCATTTAAAGGTTGTATCTGAGAATGCAATAATTGAACTCGATCGTAACTTGAGAGAAGCGCACGCATTTTATTCTAAATCAGAAGCTAAGCTTCATATTGAAAAATCCATGTAATTTCAATCCAATAATTTTACTTGCAACGTCACATTTATCGTTGAAATCTGCTTGGAGAATTAGATAGATTTATCAAGTCTTGAAGTTTTTGTAGTAGACTCGTCAAAATTCAAATTTTTGTCGAAATCTTTTTTCTTGTCCAATTATGAAAAATATTGGTCCAGTTTTGAGAAAATTGTGATTATCTTAGATGAAAATTGTTTTCAATTTAAATCAGGGTCGTTCAATTTTTTGATAGATTGATGACACTGAAAACTCCGAACATGCAAAAACCAGCGTTAAGTCTTTATAAACTTAATGGTCTACCGGCTATTTTGATAATGCCTAGGTATCGATGGACATTGTCGCTGAGTTTAATTAAAATTGAAAACTATTTAAAAACAGAACAAAAACGAATAACACAAAAACGAAGAAATGGAAGCGGGACAAAAGCGCTGACACTGTGAAAGGCATTTTCCTTTCACTTTTCATCATTCGTTTTCAAGTGCCACATTACGTTAACAAAACTCCACAGTTTTTCTGTAGGCATCATTTGTCTCCAAATTCGGCCATATAATCTCTAACCAACGTAAAAGATGTATTCATCGAACTCAATAGCAAGTGAGCACACTTTTTTCTCTAGTTAAAAATCGAGCTTGACCTCGTTAATGTGTCAAAAAATCTTCCAATAGACATGGTCAAATTTTATCCGAGATTAATCAGTTTTAAATCATACCTGATCATAAGTTCGATATATTCCTACTAATGAACTATCTGAATAGAATTCAACTGAAACTTGAAAATAGTTTGATGACTTTAAACTTAGTTTTCATTACAAAGAAACTATTTCAAAAACTTTTTTTTACAGGAAATTAGTTTTTTAATTCTGTCAAACTGAAATGTTATCAATTAAGTCGTAAAAATTTCATTGCATTGCGTTCTTGAGCAATAACAAACAATCAACAAAAGATTTGGAAACAAAATTTGTGTTTTATCGACCTTTAAACATAAATCTGTTTCGAAACATGCGCATGCTTAAAATCAAAAATCTGATCTGATCAAAGTGACTTTTTCCAGGAATAATATAGATGTGAAATAAATCTGTTTTAGGCATTGCGCATGTTTCGAGACAGATTTATGTCTTAAGGTACGGTAAAACTTCACAGGTTTTTGTTTCCAAACTTTCGTCGATTGTTTGTTTTTGCTCAAGAATACAATTGAGTGGAATTTTTACAACTTAATCGATAACACTTCAGTATGACAGATTTAAAAAAAACTTTTTCTTTTAATGAAATTTTTAGAAATAGTTTCTTTCTAATGAAAACTAGGTTAAGAGTCACCAAACTATTTTCAAATTTCAGTTGAATTCTTTTCAGATATTTTATTATTGGGAACGTATCGAACGTTTGATCAGGTATGATTGAAAACTGATTAACCTCGGCTAAAATCTGACCATGTCTATGGGAAGATTTTATGACAGAGTACCGAGGTCAAGCTCGACTTTTAACTAGAGCAAAAATAGTGCTCGCTTGCTATTGAATTCGATGAACACATATTTTACATTCGTTAGAGATTTTGTGGCCAAATTCGGAGACAAATGATACCTACAGAACAATTGTGGGAGTTTTTAATTATAATTTGGAACTTTAAAACAAATGATAGAAAGTGAAAGTAAAATGACTTTCAAAGTGTCAGCACTTTTGTCGCGCTTCCACTTTTTCGTCTTTACTGTTATTCATTTTGTTTTGTTTTAAACTTTCATTATAGGAAATATATTTTTTTCTAATTTCTTTCAACCTGAAATATTATCGATTAAGTCGTAAAATGTTCACTGGGTTGTGTTCTTGAGCAATAACAAACAATCGACAAAAGATTCGGAAACAAAAATCCATAAAGCTTTATCGACCTCAAAACATAAGTCTGTTTCGAAACATGCGCATGCTTAAAACAGCCTCATCTCACATCTATTTTATTTCTGGACAAATCAATTTGATCAGATGTGATTTTTAAGACAAATCGAGAAGTTTACGAAAATAATTGTAGCTGAGATTTATTTGTCATTCTAACTCAATAAGTTTGGCAGAGAATCTATAGATTCCGCCACAAATTTTCTATAGGCATCATTTGTCTCCAAATTTCAGGAATATTATCGGTGTCTAGAACCTTTTCACTTAAAACTACCCGAGTCTAGGTGCTCACTTATGTTTTGTCTGTCTCGACCAAAACTTTCTATAATTTAACCGTGTACTTTCTGATCGTCTAAACAAATTTCGGGTTGTTTTGATTCTCTCGATTGAAAAAAAACGCCTGTCCTTCTTTGTAAGTGCAGATACATTTAGACCGTCTCGACTAATTTTAGGCTCTGATTTTAGGTTCTAATTCTTTGATCAATTGTTATTTTTTACCAAAGTTAATCTTATAGTTTATGCTTTTCAAGTGTTTTTCAAGAATGATTTTTACCAAAATTGTCGCGTTGCGATCGGTAATGATGGTACCCAGCAATCATAAAATTGCGTTTTCAAATCGCGCGAGCGCTGGATTTTACAAGAAGAGCTCTTTTAAGAGAATCGTAGCTTAGTTAATGTTCAATGATTAACCTCCGCGTTATGCCTCTAGCTCGTTAACTTAAAAAAAACCTAGTCTTCTATAATCTAGAATTTGAATGCGTTATAGAGAAAACTGATTTCTGAACGTCGTTTTTCCATCTTACGAGGGTTTTGTTTCTGATTTTTCTTACAAAGATTTAAAAAATTGAATTTTTTTCGGTGATTCGACCATGCATGACCAATTTCTGATACATTGCAAATGTGCTCGAGGTATATTTCGAGATTCTTCTTGTCGCTAACACACGGCTCGACATTTTTTTTTGTCAAACTAAGACATTGCGCTGCGCGATTTTGTTAGCCGAAACATCACAAAAACCTGAGCTTCTCAAACAGGGTACAAATTCGAACTACAAAAGTGCTTAAATATCCAAACAGGAATATGAATTCCTCAATTATTTGAAAGTCGTAATAAAATATAAGGCTCACTATACCTTCACTAGAGCAGAAGTACCATTTTTCACATTTTCAATCACATGAGAAAATTTTGAGAATCACTTGGATGAAATTACTCAAGACTCTGGAATGGATCAAAAAATGGCTATTGGTATCTTCGTTAACACCACACAAGTTTTTGGATTTAAAAGTGATGACCGGAAAGCTATGGTTCTTATTTAATACTTTTTCTGAAAATTAATAAAAGTTCAGTCAGATTTTATCCAAAACCATTACCAAATTTTTGATTTAATTTCTTATGTTGAATGAATGTTCAGAAAAAAAAGAACGCGAAGAAAATAATCATTCACTTCATTGGTTGAAAGCAAAAATTTGCCATTTCTAAGGTCCAGTGATTGTATCAATCCTTTTAACCTTGTTGAAAAGAAACTAAAATAAAGTTTCAAGTTAAACATCTATTGTTTATTTATTTTTCATTCAATTAAATTATACAATGACATTCATACAGCTTTATAATTTTGTCAAGAATCATTTGAGTGCCAGTTTTGAGGATCAAATGACTATCATCAAGCACAAGACTTTATCGAATTCAATTTGAACTAGTTCATCAAACTAACAACAAAACAGTTCGAAGTTGTTTCCCTTTTCTTCGGTCACAATTTCAGCTTTTGAACAGTTGAATGGCAGACACAATGAAAAAAAATGCAAATCCCAAAAAAAAACCTTCAGTTTGTTTTTTTTTCGTCGTGTTGATGTACTTGAAGCGTTTTTCTTAATTTTTCAGCATTTTAAATAAATTTTTCTTATAAACAAAAGATTGACAGGTCCTTTATAGTGAAAATAAAAGCAATTTCAGTTATTTTCTCGACCTTAGAATTTAGGAAAATGAAAACGCTCCATGCGTTCCAATCCGCTTCTTTCTTCACCCTATCTTCTACTCCTCATTCGCTGGCTCTGTTTCCAGGGCACTCTTTGGCCACACACTGGAACTTCCCGTCCGGCTTCATCCGGAACTGACCCCCTATCTCATTCCCACAACTGCCACACACACAACACTCTTTGCAGATTTTGTCCCCACCGATGCGGAAAAATGCTCCTGAAAGTCAAAACGAAACTAGGTTCAATAGCATACAAATAAGGCTATATGGTCAAATGATATGGTAAAATCGTACATCACACAAAAACACCTGAAAATCCTAAAGTTTTGAAAGTTTTGTTTGGTTTTAATTGGCTCATGTTTTCCAATTTTTTCATCCCTTCTATCCACAATTTGATCTCAACTCAAAAACTAGTTTTTTACACCCTTTTATTTTGCTCGTCAACCTCCAGGAGAACATCTAGTTGTCTAATTGCGCAATTAGAGTTTTGAGTAATCGAAACCTGGCTAAATAAGTTTGTCTGAAAAAAAATTAAGAGTCAGTATAACCTGATTTCTATAAAATTGTTGGCAACATAGCCATTGCGCTTCAAGGACCTCAAGCGAACTTGGCGGAAGGTAAATTTCGTAAGCACTCACAAACCTGTTTGAAGTAGCTACAAATAATGGTCTCGACTTGCTCCTGAAACGCGGTAGCCAGCAGAAGGTCAGGATTTTTTGTGTCCTAAGACTAAGTCCTTCAACTTCCAAACTAGCTACCAAGGAGTAAGCGAGAAGAAAGCTGAAAACATACAACATACTCCAAAAACCTATAACAGAACAAAACCTCACAACACATTACATCTCAGAAAAATTTAAAAACACAGAAGCTCTGGTTTTCCAAGAGATTTGAGTTTTATTACCAAATTGACAGTAGTTGCAGACTATTATAATTTAAAGGAAAAGAAAAAATCACCAGCAGCTCGACCTAAAATTGCTTCATAAATAGCTCTCAAAAATTATCATTCCGGAAATAGCTTTCAAAAAAAAATTAGTCAAAACTTGTGGCAAGCCAGAAAATTGGATATATGTTTTTTTTTTTAAATTCTCAACAAGCAAACCAAATTGAGGAATTGAGAATTATTATATTCCTTTTTTTTCGTCAACCAAGTAGCCTGGAACCAATAGTAATTTTATGCTTAAAGTATTATCAGCTCTTTTTGCTTGTCGGAGAACTATTTATGCAAACTGATAACCACTTTTTTCTGAACTAATTGTGGATAGGCGCACAATTTTTTTGTGTCTTTAGGTTCCTGGATTCCAGAGACAATTCTTTAAACGTGTTCCAAAATGTAAGAGGATTCAACTTACAAAAGTTTCGTGGATTCCGCGTACAAATACTTGTAACGTAAATGTTGTCGGCACATTTGTTTTGATGCGGATTCCGCAACAAGCAAATATAGCTGTTTGTTCTAAATTGCGCAGCTGTAAGTGTATTCCGGAAAAAGTAAGTGAAGTCCGCCAAGTGTAAGAGGAATCCGCAAAAGTAAGAGGAATCCGCATACAAAATGCGGATTCCACTTTCAATTTGAGGATTACGCTTACAGTTGCGGATTCCACAACAGCTCAATGTAACTATACACAAATTTTACTAGTTATTTGTTGGTTCCACAAACTGTTCTGGATTCCGCATATACAATTGCGGATTCCGCAAATTTGCCTGTTTTTGGAATGATTTTGAGCCGTACAATGTTATAGGTATTTGCTTTTGGAATCCAAAACAGCAACGAAGATCAAAGAAAAGTAGCAATTTTGCGGATTTCGCTTCAAACCTGATTTTGGCCTCTTGCGGAATTCATTGTATGATTTGAATGGTTCGACGTATGATTTGTGTGCTATAACTCAAAAACTGCTTGTTGCTCCGACTATCGAAAAAAAACAGAATTTATTATGCTCGTGGTTTTTTAAATTCGGAAAAATTTATGGTTGAATTTATCGATTCAATCGTTTACTCATTTCCAAGACATCAAAAAAATTTTGGATTTCTCAAATTTTTAAAACTTCATAAAACGAAATATAGCACCTGATAAAAAAAAACTGTTAATTTAAGCAAAAAAAAACGAGTAAAAGTTTTGATTATCTAAGAACAGCATGAGTTAGTTTTCAGAGTTTTTTCTCTTCCGAGCATTGAAAATGGGTACGGGCTTAGTATTCAGGTTTGTTTTAGTTTTTTTGTTTTCCACCCAAAATCAGCTATCACAAATAATCATCGGACTGGGTTGAGTGATATATCTTTTCAAAGCCCACTCAGTCGTGATTTGATCGACATTTAAAAAATTCCAAAAACGCCTGGTCAAAACAGTGCAAAGTAGGCAGTCAAACATTCTAATTACTGAGGTAGTTATGTACAGTATAATCAGTAAAATTACTTAAAAGAATAAAAAAAGTAAAACGAAGTGTGTTTTAAAACGTTCTGATCTAAACCTAACACCAACTGGCAGTGATCGACCGATGTCCGCATCACGCGAAGTGCTGACCAGTTTCTAAGCAAAACCGAGGTTCATAATGACATAATCATAAAAACAAATCAAAATATTTCCCATCGGAAAAATTTTTAAACTACAATTCATTAAAACTAATTCTATATACCCCCATTTCCGCCTCCAAAGTAGAACAAAAATTTACAAAATGCACCATAAGCAAAAAACAGAACACACACGCCCAACAGTTCAAGTTCTTTGGTGGAATATTTCATTTCGTGATTGTTTAGAAACCTTGAAACAAAAAAAATTGTTTACCACTGCCCTGAATGAAATTGTTCCAAGGTTGCACCCAGGCCATTATGAGAATCGTTGGCTTTCAATCTCGTTTTTTCTTTGATCTCAAAATGGCTGTTTCTGACTTCAATTTTTCAAAAGCTATAGAATAGCTAGTATCCCATTTATAGGCCAATTTCTTGTTTAATAGGATGAGAACGTGGGAGATCAGTGTCAAAACAGTTGGGACAAATTTTTATTAATCGTTTATTGAGCCGAAGAAAGATCCTTAGTTCGAGATGTTCTTGGGAATTGGAAGGTTTTTGATGGCGCTCTCTACAGATTTTAAAAATTACCAACTTTATTTCTTTTAAGAGAAAGCGCATTTTCCCCATTTCTTCGCCATATCGTTCTTGTCCACGATTGTCAAAGATCTATTTACAACTGCTTTAAGTTTGTCAAAAGTTCCTTTCGACGCAACCAGGATGTCTTTTATATAATAATATGTACACTATTTATTATTTAAAAGTGAGTCCATGACTCGTTAAAATTCATTAGGCATATCGCCCAGTCCATATAAAACCGAATAAAAATTGATATGTTCTCGTTGTTTCGCCGCCTACAGTGCTGAAGTCAAACTGTTTGCTCATATTTACTCACATTTTTTAGTTGCTTGTAGGCCTTTTTCAACCCCAATGTTTTAAATCAGACCTGCCCAGGGGGAGTTTCCGGAAGTTGGATAGTGACGTAGTCAATTAATTCATGAAGGTTTGGCATTTTAGATTTATTTTTAAAATCTGATCGCTCAGCAAATTAGAAACTAAAGCCAACTCGATCGAGCCGTCTCTCTTTTTGGCTATTACAATCGGGCTAAAAAAATGTTCTTCGTCGCAATTCTCAAAATTTAATTTATAATCTTCGATCTCCATTTTTATTAACTCTTCGTTTACGCCCGCGATTTAAAGGTAAGGGAACTCTTCTCCCTTTTGCCTGAACTGGTTCAAGCGGGGAATGGAAGTGTGTTACCTAGCGGTCATTCGGTGTTTCCCCAATTTTTAAGAACTGGGTGAAAAAGAACGTTTATTCCAATTACTCTCGATGACATTTTTTCGGTGTTGAATGTTAGAACGATTTAGGACGAAGGGACTCAATACCATATGATTCGGATGGTAGATGAATTTAAATATGAAAATTCGTGGATTGGGATGGGAGATGAATGTAAATTTGAATATTCCTGTAGACTCGGCGAGCTCAGTTAGCTTTATGAAACAAAACTTCCTTCATGAACTTCAGCCAAGATACCTCAACCTGAAAAGTTTACTCACAAAAGATCAGTGTCTAAACAATTGGGACAAATTTTACTTAATCGTTTATTGAGCCGAAGAAAAATCCTTATCTCGAGATGTTCTTGGGGATTTGAAGGTTTTTGATAGCGCTCTCCACAGATGTTAAAAACTAACAACTTTATTTCTTTTAAAAAGAAAGCGCATTTTCCCCATTTCTTTGCCATATCGTTCTTGTCCACGATTGTCGGAGTTCTATTTACAATTGCTTTGTGTTCGTCTAAAGTTTCTTTCGACGCAACCAGGTCTTTTATGTAACAATATCTAAACTATAACAATATAAACACTATTTATTATTTAAAATTGAGTCCATGGCTCGTTAAAATTCATTAGGCATATCGCCCAGTCCATATAAAACCGAATAAAAAACGATACGTTCTCGTTGTTTCGCCGCCTACAGTGCTGAAGTCAAACTGTTTGCTCATATTTACTCACAATTTGAGTTGCTTGTGGGCGTTTTTCAACCCAAATGTTTTAAATCAGACCTGCCCAGGGGGGTCTCTGGAAGTTGGATAGCGACGATGTTTAATAATTCATGAAGGTTTGACATTTGATATTTATTTTTAAAATTTGATCGCTCAGCAAATTAGAAACTAAACCCAACTTGATCGAGCCGTCTCTCTTTTTGGCTATCACAATCGCGCTAAAAAAATTGTTCTTCGTCGCAATTCTCAAAATTTAATTTACAATCTTCGATCTCCATTTCTCTTAACTCTTCGTTTACGCCTGCGATTTAAATATATGGGAACTCTTCTCCCTTTTGCCTGAATTGGCTCAAACGGGGAATGGAAGTGTGCTATCTTGCGGTCATTCGGTGTTTCCCCAATTTTTATGAACTGGGTGAAAAAGAGCATTTATTCCACTTACCCTCGATGACATTTTTTCGCTCTTGAATGTTAGAACGATATATGACGAAGGGACTCGATACCATAGGATTGGGATGGGAGATGAATGTAAATATGAAAATTCCTGGACTGAGATGGGAGATGAATGTAAATTTGAATATTCCTGTAGACTCGGCGAGCTCAGTTAGCTTTTTGAGACAAATTTTTCTTCTTGAACTTCAGCCAAGATACCTCAACCTGAAAAATTACCCTTTGGAGAAGAGCTCAGGGATCTATATTGTGGCTTCACAGACGAA